TTCCCTACAAGACTTCAGTTTTCCATCATTTGCTCGTGTGGCCTTTGGCAACTTGCAGGTGTTTGTTTAGAAAGGAGAGGCATTTTCCAAGATGACACAGTAGCCTGATGTTCTAAATCCTGGGAGCTTGACTCCTGCCTATTTCTAGGACACTTTATGTGATTGGCCATTACCCACCCTCTCTATCCCCATTGCTGCCACTGCTGCCTGTGACTTTGCCATTTAAGGCTGCTGAGTGCTTTCCCCAAAGAGTAGCCCAAGCCATAGAAGGGCTGTGAGGTTCACCAGCGTTACTGTGTTACTTGTTGGTACCCTGGGAAATGGGTCGCCTGGGAGTTGAAATTAAGAACTGAAGAGAGGCTGGTAATTCGTTCATACCCTTATGAACGCCTGCTGTGAAAGCAGCATCCGACCCCTTACCCGTGCATTATGATCATCCATGCCATCAGAGCAGATTGAAGGGCGTCTATGGATCGACCAGCTCCATCTTTATCCATACATTTGACAAAAGTACAGATGATTTCAATTACATCTATTCAGTGAGGGATTTTAAGGCATTATGCACTCAGATTTTAACTCAACTAATAGCTTTAGAGCATCACTATTCAATATGAATATATGCAAGCCACATTTGTCATTTAAAATGTTCTAATTGCCACATATAAAATGTAAGCTGTAACAGCTAAAATTCATTTTAATAATATATTTTCTTGGGTATGTATACATTGGGTTATAATGTATCTGAAATATAATCATTTCAACATGTAGCCAATATTTTAAAAACTTTAATGATATATTTTACCTTCACTTTTTTGTATAAGTCGTCTAAATCTGATGTGTTTTCATAGTCTGTCTCAATTGGATGCTAAATTTGATTCAGAAATGCTTGGTCTGAATTTAGATTTCATAGAATTGACAGTTGAAAAAGTGGATTCATTCACACACCCATGTTGTTCCAAACCATGACTGTATTATTAGATTTTCAATTTAAATTTAGATTATATTAAAATTAAACTTCAGCTCATAACTATTTGGAGACTGATAATTATGATTGGGCATATGCCTAGCAGTGGTGGAAAATAAAGTTTAAAAAGGTAGCTTGGGGCAGTTCTGCTGACAGCCTCAAACAGCAAGCCAAAGAGATTGTTCTACATGGGGAAAAAAGTTTCTGGTGAGGAGGGATGTAAGCTGTGTTTGGGGGAAGATTCACTTAGCACTGATGTAGATGATGGATGGAAAGGGTGACAGCTTGGTGGCTAAAAGAGCAACTAGCTACTGCACTAGTCCAAGCAAAATATAATGAAAAAGTGGGGGAGGTGCTAGGAAAGGAAAGAAAATTATAAATTTACATAAGGATATCAGGTAATGTGGGCAGGAAATCAAAGAAAGGGAGGAGTCAGAGAGTTCTGTAACAACTAAAATAAAGAAGTAAAGAGGAAGGGCTGGAGGGAGAAAAGTTATTTCTAACCTATTTGCAGAGAAATGTTTAAAGAAAAGATTGGAATATATGTACATATGGGCCGGTGGTGGGAGGAGATCTTTGGGCAAACATGAAAAGAAATAAAAATCTATTTATAGAACTGTCAAATTAGCAGAATGGGCAACTTTCTTAGAAATAACGTATACTATTCCAACAGTTGGGAGGGTCTGAGTAAATTAAATTATGGTACCACTTATTAGAAAGCTATGCAGCTGTTAAAAATCATTGCTCTTGAATTATATCAAGGGATATGGGAAATTGCTTAAGATATATTCTTAAATGAAAACCTTAAGTTTGGATAATAAGATTCCATTTTTTTTTAAAGGATATACATTTACATGATGTATAGCACAGAAAATGTGCGGAAGGACACATACCAGACCCAGATTATCTCTGCAGAGTAAGACTGAAAGGGGCAAGAGCTTTTATGTTTTATACTTTGGTAGTGCTTGAACTTGCTACAGAGAACATATCATTTTTATTTTTGAAAAGGGAGACCAGAAAAATGACTGGAAAAAAGGTCCTTTTTTCAGACCAGAAAAAAGGATTTCTATCAAAAAATTATCTCTGGGTCATTTTTATTTTCTTATTACAAACTTTTTATATTTCAATATGTAATACTTCTATAGTCAGAAAAAAGTCATAAAAGAAATAATCTGTAATACCAACGACAGGATCAATTTTAAGTCTGTTTGCAAAGTCAAAGTTTATAGAGTTGGGTGTTTCTTTAAAGAGGTTTGGATCCAATTTCTTTTACTTCTTTGGGGCTCATGCTTACTTTTATAGCTGCTGAAGCTATTTCCACATTAAAAAAAAAATGATTTCCATTCATGTGGGCAAAAAGGAAAATGGAGGCCAACCCCAAGGCAAGCCTTCCTGAGAGAAGACAAAAAGCCTCTGTAACCTGTAGAATGAAAACTTCACCAGTAGAACGTGACTCTTTTGTCGTGAATGACTTCAGTTGCTGGTGAACAGAAATTTTCAATGAGAACAAAGAGCATCAGAACGATTTCAGTGCTCTGGTTGTCATTCCAGGCCAAACACACCAGTAACTTTATATTATAATGATGGGGACAAAGAACAAGGTGTTCCATTCACTGTGAGGCTCCTGCAACAAGAGGGCGCAGAGTCTTTCACTGAAGTGGAAACGAGAAGGAACTCTCAAGGAAAGCGAAAAGGGCTGCGAGCAGGTAAATCACCATCAACCGCATAAATAATGGCAGAAAATGGGTGAAGAGATGAAAAGATGCCGTCTGATCATTCACCAATGGAAAGATGTGCACTAAATCAGGGTCTTTTCTGTCTGACGCTGTTGTTTTTGCCGAACAGTTGAGCACCCAAGGAAATACCAGTTGGGTCTTAAATACAATTTATAGCCGGGTTGGCCTCATTGCACCTGGCTGTGTTTTGACAGCAGGTTTCGTCAGTTTGTAGCGGAGATGCTTGTCTATGCTATAAGCTGTAACTAACGCAACTAGACCTTTGGAAAAAACGTACCGCTCAGAGGCAAATCTCTCCCTTCCACGCACCCCTCTCCCTTTTAATGAAAAGCAAAAGCCTCCTGCTGGTGGCAAAGCCTCTTCTTCAGGGGAAATTAGAGCCTCCTGGGAGCAAGCAGGTCAGCCCCAGTGCTGCAGCCCGAGTGGGGTGCGCCTGCTTCTGGGCACTCGATTAAGGACTCTTTCTTTTCTCTTCCCTCGGGGCTAACTGTTGAACACAGTGGCCTTGTTGTTCTCGGCCAGGAAATGTGGGATTCTGCTCTTTGAGCTCCCAACTCTTCCCAGCTTCCAGGCCCTGCTAAGAATGTCTGGGAGCCTTGCAACAGCCTGGCCTAGGAACACAAGGCAGACGGCTTCGCGGGATACCCAGCCCTCACCTCAGCCCCATCGGAAACAAGAAGAGCAACGCTTGGCTATTTAGGATCAGACAAACCGTAACTTTGTTTCCCAGGATTTTTGTACTCAGCTAGTGGCCTGGTTTGGAAGCCACTGACGTAGAAATCACAGGAGCTCATTATAATATACATGAGTTGAAAGCACTGCCTCCCAGGACCAGGTGCTGCCTTATTCCACCCATTTTGTTTTGTGTGTTTATTCTTCACTGCCAGAAGGACTGGGCCAAACAAATAAGTTTTAACAGGTGACATGCATTCCTGAACCGAAGGCAATGCGTCCTTTTTAGGAATGAGCTCATGGTGGCTGATGGCCGACATTCCCCCCACCCCCCCACCCCCCCACCCCCGTGTGGTAGAACAGGACAAAGATGTGAGTAGAGGGATGAAAAGGTAATGGAGAACAGCCCCTTCTGTTCCTTAATTTCATGGTTCACAGACCTTCATTGACATTCAGACACTCCCAAGGGGAAGCTCATATAACCGGTCATGAAACCAGAAACGAGCAGGCTAACAGCGCTGCTTGCCTGGGCCCGGGGCAGAGTTTCTCACCACCTTGGGGGTCCACTCCCAGACGCTAGGGCCCACTATGATGGGTCTGCAGCTGCTCCGGGGGCCAGCCCAGGCTGGGAGAGTTGCAGGCCTACAGGGTCCTTTGACCAGCCGCATCCAGGATGCCACCGTCGGACTTCTCAGGGCCCAGGCTCTAGCTAGGGTCAGCCCTCAGGGCTGCCCTTCAGGCTCCGCAAAGCACAAGACCCGGGGAGCACAGAAGGGAGAGAAGGCTCCAGGCCGGGTGATCCCCACGCAGCGAGGGATGCCTGGGAACCGTCTCTCCCTCAGAGTTGCCCATGGGCTGAAAGGGAGGGAGAGAAGGAAAGCTGAAGGAGGGATGGGTCCCGGTCCCTAAGGCAGAGAAATGAATCTAAACTGCTCCCTCAGATGAGAAGAGCAGCTGGAGGTAGAGATGCACAGCCAGGGGAGGAAGTCGAGGGCAGCCGCACAGGGGTGATGACAGAGAAACTACGGGTACGCCCCGTCCGAGGGACGCGGCAGGCAAGCAAGCTCACGCATACGTGGCAGCATCCAAACTGCAGAGCTCAAGGCCAGATGGCAGCATTGACCTGCTGCCGGGTGACACCGCCCAAAGTATACGCCACGCTTTGCAAGACCTCATTTAACACTCAGTTCAGGGTCAACCAGAACGTCCACGTACAGCACCACGGTCACTAGAGGCAGAGGCCTGAGGCACACATCACCGTGCAGGCCTAAAAGGGTGGGAGACCATCATTTTCCTGACTCACGGATATTCCAACTCAGCAAGAGGATTACTTTTGTAAGTATATACAAATAAATCACTGTCATGATGGATACACTAAGTGACAAGCCTTACTGTCCTCCACAGACTCTCGGAAAGCAGTTATCTTAAGCACACCTGTGGTATTCCGGAACTCTCCAGCCAGTCTTGGAAGATGTTTTCAACAGACAACTCAAGCCTTTAAAAATAAAACAACAACAACAAAAAGTAAAGGACTGAAAAAGTTACAGAGCACTTATTACACAGAATGGTTCTAACTATTCGGGCACATCACCGCATCCATCTTCCAGAGAAATCGGGAGAAAGCGCAATGCTGTCACACGTTAAAGTGAGGAGGGGGACCCGGTCACGTTCAGTACAGCTCCTCTCCAGTCAAAGAGAGTGCACACGATGAAATCTAAGAATCAAAGGCACACCACAATAGGTGCTTTTAATGTCTTGAGAGGAACTTCTTGGTTGGGAGTGCCATTCAGGGAGGATAGGGCATGTTCATGGGACACAGCAGGCGTGACTGCTTCCTGGAAAGAGGTGGAGCAAAGTGAAATCTGAACACTATAGCACTTAGTGCACCAAAATGAAATTCCAACTTTATAGTGACCATGGGCTACAGCAAGCAAAAATGATACAAATCGTTATTGGAGCCCTGAGAGGCTCACAGCCATGGAGCACACATGGCTTCTGCTGCTTGTTTTCAAGCAGGCCTTCATTCTGCTTTATTTGAAATATTATGATTGCTTGTTACGTCTGATCCAAAGGAAGCTGAAATCTTTTGGTTTCATGCCCCGCTGGTTTAAATACTCCTTAAATGTACTAAGTGTCCAATATTCTTAGGGTCAACAGACTGTCTTCCTGAAGTTTAAGCCATTCCTCCCTGGCTTCTAGATAATTCTTGCTCATGCCTGGTCTCTCTAACCACAGAGGCCTTCCTGGAGCCTCTCCCAGGCTGTGTGTGTCATACCCACCATGCTTCCTGTCTTCTGTGGCACAGCATCCATCACAGTTTGTGACTGCAATTTATTTGGTTACTTGACTTTTAACTGTCTCCTCACTGGCTCAAAGCTCTCTGAGACCAGGGTCCAAGTCTGTTTTACTCACTTCCCTAAACCCAGCACTTAAAACAGTTCTTGGCATAAGAGAGGATCCCCATAGATATTTTTTATTTGCATGAATGAAAACACATTTCATTGTTGACTCAATAAAGATTATTCCTTTTTAAGTTAATAATCACCTTTCCCAGTAGGATATTCCCAAGTTGTGAAGCTCTGCATTTTTTAAAAATTTTACATACTATATTACATATATGTAATATTCCCTCCTCCCTCCCTTTGGAATTATAAAGAAGTTGTGCAAAGATACAATGCTGTCTGCATTAGTTAAGGTGCTGAAGGCCAAGTACTCCCCTCACACCTGTACTGGTTGGGCTTTGGGCTGGACCACAGTGAGAAGGGAGGGAGGGAAGGAGGGGGGTGGGCTTGGGGAATACGGGGCTGACTGATACTGTCCCTTCCGTTGCTTCCCCACTGAGAAGCAAGTCACCTGTGTGCCTCTGTCTTCCCTGCCCAGGGCAAAAGCAAAGATTGCCGAAGGAGGCAACTGTTGATATTTCAAAACAGAGAAAATACAAAGAGGGAAAGAAACTGGTTTGGATTCATTTTCAAGATGATGCCCACCTGTGGGACGACCAGGCAGGGAAGAAGCCAGAAGTGAATAAGGGGAAAGTGGCCACCTCCCTAGGCTGTCTGCCCAGTTCCCAGGTCGGCGGAATTACTGGCTGTGTCTCTATGAAAGGTCAGGTGCCACCATCCCGGGGCTTTCCCCCACTATTTCTTGTCATCTAACACCACCACTCTCAGTGCAGAAGTCCCCCCTGTAGGCTGTGAGAGTGTGGAAGTGTGTGAGTGTGCTCACGTGCGTGCATGCATGCGTGCCCTCAGATGTCTGTGCGTGTGTGTGCACATGCACGTGGGCCGGGGATGGGGGCGACTAGAAGAGAGGAGGCATCTCTCAGAGCACCTTAAATCAAGATCATTATTCTTTTTCTTGGGCTTGATTTATTTGCTTGGCCATAGAAAGAGGCACTGGAAATGCCCTCAAATGGCATGACTGATCTGCTAGGAGGAGGAAAGTGGGGCAGAAGGGCCACTTAGAGAAGTGCCCAAGGAGACCTGAGGTTGTTTTATTTTCTAGTGACATTTGTGAGGCTGGAAGGTAAGACAAATCTTGTCATTTCCATTGAAGACAATGGAACGAATGCAAACGTTCTGCACCTTGCCTGGCACCCGGGTGGGCAGTTCATTTGGTGGGGTAGAGTTGCTGCCCCGGGGCTTGAGCGGCCGTGGAGGCCCTGCTGGCACTCTAAGTTGTTTGCCCTGATTCAGAAGCAAGGGTCCATTTTCTTCCCTGTCCTTCCTTCACTGGTGCTTCTATCTAAGCAGCTCATTCATCTACTTCCTTTCCAGCCAAAGAGAGACACTCCTGTGTCCAGGGCCCTGGGGCTAAAAGCTCCTGTCACCCATGCTTCAGGTGATACCCAAGAAGGCAGCAGCAAGTGTCTGACTCGGAACTGAGCTTCATTGTGCTGCGGATTCTAGGAAAATGGGCATTCTTAAACCTGCCACAACTTAAGACGGAGAATTTAGAAAGGATTTAGAAAAAAGCAGTAGTGATGATCAAAGGGCTAAGCACATTGGACCCACAGGGGAGGTCAAGGGAACTGGGATTAAATATCCTGAAGAAGAGAAGTCTGGGGAGTGAACTTCAGAGCCATTTTCAAGCGATTTTTACAAAAGATGGTGAACAGCTGTTGTGCATGCCCATGGAGGAGTGAGTAAGACGACAGGGACATAAATTTTCTTCAGGGAATTTTAGCTTAAAGACACTTCTTTAGCGGTGGCATGGCGGGGGGATGGCATGGAGGAGGGCGGGGGCTGGGGAGTTGAGTCCCAGCATGTTACTAACTGAGGTTCAAGTCTTCACCAGAGAAGACTGAGAACAGGCAAAAGCTTCTCTATGTGGCAAACATTCGGTGGATGCCTATCAGGCACGAGGTTCTGTACAAGACCAATATTATTATCCCCATCTTAGAGATGGGCAAATAAAGGTCCAAGAGACTAAGGGCCTTATGCAGGGCCTCTTAGATGGTGCTTGAAGAGCTGGGATTCAAACTTGTGTTGCCTGGCTGCAAAGCCCTTGCTTTTCTTTCTGCGTTTAATTCAGGAAATTAATCCACAGTACATTGGTTCATGATTTATCATGCAGACAAGCCTGCAGGAGAAGGCCTGCGCTGGCTCTCACCAGCGCTGACTTCTTGTTCACACCTCTCCTGCTGA